GTTTACATTTTAGGTCTAACCATTTAAATACACAAAAAATGCTTCATTTTGCAATGGACATCACTGAAAACAATAATAAGTAGTTCATTCAATGAGTCAGTCAGATGGAGTAACCTGACGGATTCATTTAGTGAAGGAATAGCTTTTTGAGTGATTCATTAAAAGAACCGACTCAAAAGAATTATTTGTTCGCAATTCAATTTGACTATGATTTTTATTCACTAAAAAGAATTAGTTCATAAGAGTCATTTGCTTTTAAATAGGAACACGTTGTTTGTTTCTGCAAACTAAGCAGCTGGCAATTGGCGAAGTCTTCTCAGTAGTAAGATGTTTTTTGTTGTTGCCATTATGTGATAGTCTGTTTTTTAAGCTAAGCTCATTATATAGGCTGTAGAACTAAGACCGGCAATTTCCAGTTAGATCATGTCTATATTAGGTCCATCAATCCATGACCAATTCTGGACATCTATTTGACGTCCAAACTAAGTCCACTATACGCCTTATTCACGGCAGCGCCATCTTTGATTTTTAATGAGAATGAAAGCGAGGCTGTGAGGGATAGACATGCATCTCTTCGATGGGCTGTACTGTTATTTAATGTGTTTTTGTTTTGTTCTGCTCATGAAACACTGGAAAAATATCTTTCCAAGAAATTTTAGTTGACAAAAAACTCCCGACAATTTAAGCTGTGGAAAATTGTAATTAATCTAGGAGCTTTATTCAGCTTTTTACAGCGGATGCCATTGGAAACACGGTAAGTTTATCCCTCACAGCCTCACTTTCATACATGTCATGGCGCTGCTCTGAATAAGGTCTATTTGGATGTCCAACCATGAACCAACATGGATGCCATTTTTAACGTTCAATTTTGACCTTTGAACAGGGTAATTTTTTTGGACGTCAGGTGCAGGAAATTTACATGATTAATATGTAATATTTTTGTATTTATTTACAAATATCAACATGAATACAGATTATTTATAATTATTTAAGATCATTTTCCAAAAACTCAGCAGCAGGTGATAACTGGAGACGCATACAAAGTTGTAATGCTGTAGCTCAAGAGCGTTGGCACACGCCAAGAGCATGAGTTCCCAGGGAAAACAAGAACTGATAGGAATGTATAAGTGTGTAAGTCACTTTGGATAGAAGCGTCTTACGCCAAGACGCTTCAAAAGTAAATACATGATACAGAAAACATGTCCTCCACCGTTTTGAAGTTGTATAAAACGACGTCAAAAATGAGTCTAAATTAGATGTTGAAAAGATCCCCACAAACGACCACATTTGGAATATAAATAATCCCACGGAAGTCCCACGGACATCAACGTCGAAAAAAGACGTGGCTTGGCGTTACAAAACAACCCCTTCAGTGGTGGACCGAAATAGACTTCCGAAAATTACATAGAAAAGACGTCACTCGTCACATTGCGCAGTGGGCTAGGCAACATGCTGTTATAAATATGATCTCTTCCATAGATTCGTCACTACAGAGTAGTAGCCTACAGTTAGCCAATAAATTTGAGCTTGACTTTTCATTTGTTCATATTTAAAAGGTGTATCCTGGATGCGCATTAAAAAACAAAAAAAAAACAAAAAAAAAACATTAATAATACACACATTTAGAATACATTTTAGACCGTATGAATAGACAAAATTGACTATTCACTATCAGTCTCTATTAAATTCCTTAATCTGTTCCCATTCTTATTCTAAATCTTCTTGTTGCCTGCGTCTGAACACATCCAAAATACATAAAAGCATCACAAATAGTCAGCATTTTATAAGCTAACCAACAGAGTAGACTAATTTTACAACTTGTAGACCAATAATCACCTCAATCAAGGTCAAGGCTTGGATTTCAACCTAAAGATTAAAGTGCTTTCTAAATTTACACATCACTGTCAGGGAGTACAACAGGTGTTTGTTTTGCGTTGAGCCAAAATGGCTACAGTAGCCATTAAGAACAGTGCACTTTACAAAAGCCCAAACCAGCCATCCAATTTATCTCCAATGGGCTTTTGACATCTCTCAACCCGCACACTGACCATTTGAAAAATACAATAGTAAAGTGTTCTCTAAATTTGAAAAAAACATTTAAGAGCACATGTGTTATAGACTTGTAATGGCCGTCAACAGCAGAAGGCACGTCAGTGGGGCCTTGCGCCCCTCTATTCAGGGGAAATTGAGTGAATGGGCCTGCAAAACCAACAGACATGCAGAACAATAGAGCCAAAAGACATTATTTCATGGCCGAGTGGGCCTCTTTAGATAGAGCAGCTGACCTGTGGAGAGCTGTGTTGTTCGGGGAGGGTGTGAGTCCACGGACCCCAAAGGGTGGAGATTGTGGCACCCCCAGGTCTGGTGACAGGGGATAGCCGTCAACTCAAAGAGACCTCAACTTCCATTACTGCTGTAAACACCCAGTCTTCAGAAGAGAACAGGTCTCTCTTGAGGTCTTTTGCAGGGTGATGTGAACATGAAGGTGATTATTAGATGAAAAACTAGGTTCTGGGAAGGATGGAAGAACTGTCAATCAAAAAGTTAAATACTGTTTGAATCAGTTTCAGGGTGCAATTCAGAGAAAAAAAATACAAACGTGGCACATTTGAAGAGCATATTTCTTTTATTTTTAGGCATTTAAATGACAACATAGCTACTTAACAAGTTTGTTGTAATATCAAACAAGCAGGTAATAATTGTTTTACGGAAATGATGTCAAATACGTAACATTGCATGAGAAATGAGTATGTCAGTTAAAGTGTGCTGCTTGTTTTCATGCATGTCAGTTTTGCTACATATACTTGCTTCTCTCAAGTCTACAGAAAAAAAGTAAATACCAACAAAGAAGACAAACATTTAGACAGTAAAATGAAGACAAACAAAGACAAAAAACCAAACAGTTATCTACAATTTTATGTGAGGCAAAATAAATGAATCTCGCCGTAACAGATACGTTGAGCGACACAATGTGTAGTGTTTTTGCATTTTATTATCTGGGTTACAATTAAGTAAACTTTATACAAAATATCATTCTGTGTCTTATTAAATTATTAAAAAACATGTTAAAACCACAATACATAACGCTAATACAGCCGAATCCTTTAACATCAGGGTCTTTTTTTGCTCAGACAAACTTATCAATATAAATAACCTGGAACTATTATACATGGGTTTTTCTTAGTATAAAATAACAAAACATGACATTTCATCTCATACGAGAGCAAAGCATTAGTCCAACTCTTCCTTTAGTCAATTGTGCTTGTATCCATTCCTGTTGTAACTCTCAGTAGCAGCGAGCAAAACCTTCCGAACATTTTTCGAGAGCGAGAAAATAGGAGGAACTACGTTTACATCATTCCCCCTTCGGATGTTATCCTGACCCGTCAGTGTTAATGATATGTTTAAATACATTCAGCCAGCACTACAAATACCCACATTCAACAAAACGTAGATACTAATGACAAACCAACATTTATACAATATTTAAAAGTGCAATTTCCTCACATTTAGAGGCTGAATGCTGGTGCTTTGAAGGTCAACCAATTGGTGTAAAGAGGACGGAACCTTTGAAAGGATGTTAAATTTACTGTACAGGCCAAGAAATTAGTGGCAGTGTTATTGAAATCAGAAGTATGAGATGGAAGGTAGTCAAATCTTTAACAGAACAGAAATATAAGATTTTCTTTATATCTTTGAAATAAATAAATTAGTAAAGATTTAATAAATAGAACCTACAGCTCTAAACAAACAAATCTCACCCATGTATCTGTTCTTGGAACGTGTTATTTATAATGCGACGTGCGCATTGATATTGGTACCAAACATAATTTCGGCTAAGAGGAGAACAATTTTATAAGCAGCAACGATGCTAGATTTAGACTTCAGTTGCAAACACAAGTCGGTTTTATGTCTCTTCAGATGTTCAAAGTATAATTCACTTCAACAACCTTCATTTTTTACAGCAAAAAATAATGGAAAACCAAAAACAAAATGCTTGGAGTACCTTCCAGTAGACGTTAACTTAGCAAATTCACACTATACAATACATTCAGTGAGTGTCCTACTCGTAAAAATAATAATAAGCGGGGTGGAACATTTGTTACGTTTGGAGCGGAAACGTTTACGTTGCAAGTGCTATCCAGTTACTCCTCAACACTGTCTTTGCTCCTCGCCCTAACAAACAACCACAGTAGTGCAACACTGCCAGTGCTCCTCTATCCTTAAAGGAGTAGTTCACTTTTAAAAAAACTTTTGCTGGTAATTTACTCACCCCCATGTCATCCAAGATGTCCATGTCTTTCTTTCTTCAGTCGAAAAGAAATGAAGGTTTTTGATGAAAACATTCCAGGATTTTTCTCCATTTAATGGACTTCAATGGGAACCAAACGGTTCAAGGTCCAAAAGACAGTTTCAGTGCAAACTGTTCAAAGGGCTTTAAACGATTCCAGACGATGAATAAGGGTCTTATGAAACGATCACTCATTTAAAAAAAAAAATAACAAAGTTTAAGTTTTATAAGCTCAAATGCTCGCCTTGCTGTTCTGTGTGACTCACCTGTTCGAACTCGTTTATCAAAATGAACGAATCTTTTTTCGTGTCATTTGGTTCATTCAACGAATGAAATGAACAAATTGACTCGGAAAAAGATTTGTTCATTTTGATGAACGAGTTCGAACAGGAGAGTCACGAACGCGCATCACAGAACAGAGCAAGGAGACCATTTGAGCTTATAAAACTTAAACTTTGTTATTTTTTTTAAAATGAGCGATCGTTTCGCTTGATAAGACCCTTATTCATCATCTGGAATCGTTTAAAGCCCTTTGAACAGTCTGCACTGAAACTCTCATTTGGACCTTGAACCGTTTGGTTCCCATTGAAGTCCATTATATGGAGAAAAATCCTGGAATGTTTTCATCAAAAACCTTCATTTCTTTTCAACTAAAGAAAGAAAGACATGGACATCTTGGATGACATGGGGGTGAGTAAATTATCAGCAAAAGTTTTTTTTTAAAGTGAACTACTCCTTTAACACTAGTCTCTGAAATCCTCTAAAAAGAGCTTAAAAACTATCTGAAAATGTAATTTATATGATTTAATCCTTCTTAAAAAAGTTCATCGAAAAGCAGCCCTTAAAATCAGCACAATTTTTACGGCTAAAAATGGATGAAAATAATTATGTTAAAATACCGTTAGCTAAATACTGCAACTCTAGGGCTATTTGTATTTTGACTACATTTCCATACAAGTTTTTTTTAATTCTAAGCGATACATTGTTATATCAGTAGGTGTTTAGCAAACATCATAGTGAGTGTTTCTGTTTCCTACACCAGATTGTCGGAGAGGTTAAATGCCGGTGTGATAGAGGAAAAGAGGGAGGGTTGCTGTAGTGCAGAAGTGATGTTTAAAGGATGAGAGCTCTGGAAATGCAGGCGGTGGGGTTTAAGTAACGCCTGGCCTGCTCCGTCATGATCAGCTGATCCTCCGTTTTCCCAAAAACCACTGCCTCCCAATTGCTGTTGGGCTGTTGGATAAGAAAATACATATTTGAGATTGACCCAGTGTTATTATTGTTTAGTAAAACTATGAATTATTCTTTCGTTAACTGAATAAAGCTGAAATAATGTGAAAAAAAGTTTTCCAACTATCTAAAATAAAATAATTTTAAGTATAAAAACTAAACATAAATGAAAGCTAGCTATATAGAAACAAACAAAAACTAATAAAAATGACATTTGATATTAAGAGTCATTGGCAATTATCTGAAATACAATAGGATTAAATAGTTCTCATAAAAAATAAAAATTAAAGCAATATATAAATATAAAAAAACTTGGAAAATATGACAAAGGCACAAAAATGTAAATTGGCTTAAATTAAAAATATAAAAAAGCTAATTCAAAATATGGATAAAAACTACAATAGTATATAAATAATACTAAAATAACACTGTTTTGTCCACAAGGTTCAAAAGTCTCAAATTTGTGAATAATGAAGAAAAAAAAAAAAAGAAACTGTTGACCCATTGAATAAGAACTGAACTTAACTGAAATTAAGATGAAATAGTACAAAAATTATTAGAAATGTATACATATATATAGAAATAAATATTTATAAAAAAAACACAAAAACATATATAAATGGCAATCCAAAATAGTAAATACAATACTAGTGTGTAAATAATACTGAAAAAATTTGATTGGTCCAAACTAAACTATAACTAAAATTTCATTGAATTATACAAATTTCTGAGGTTTATTTGATGTAATGAGGGTTAATTATGAGTTAACTGCAACACACTCAATATGGCATTTCAGATCCTTTTCTCTTGATGGTCAGGGAACAAAAGAGTAAATTACCGGAGTGGATGTTTGGCAAGGTGGGCTCCTTTGGGTCATGTTTTCTCTCTTGCCCTGTGGGCTAAGGGAACATACTAATGAAAGCGAATTCTTCAGTGATCTAGGAGAGCAACAGTTCTCCTCTCTCTCTGTCAATGGCATCATGAGCATGGATCTGGTCAACAGACCGTCACTGTGAGACTAAATGGAAAAAGAAGGGCGAAGATGTTGGGTGAAGACAGAAAACAAAATGATTGTTAACTCAAAACAGAAATGTTAGAAGAGGTTGTCTTACCACAGCATTGTTGTTAATCTGCTGTTGGGGAAACAGCTGTACATTTAAACAGTCCTTTTCCCAGTTGTCCAATACCAGAGACTTTCTTACTTTCCTTGCAGGAGCTTCCATCTGCTGTGAACACCAAATGACACAGTTTAAAAATAAAAACGAGTGTTAACATAAGATGAAACCTTCTGAATATTTAAACTAAACCTTTTTGCATGACTATGAAAAAAGATGTGTAAGAAAGTGGCCAGTACCTCGTAAGATCTATAGTGAAGTTGGTTCTGCACTTGTGTGAAGATGTCAGCCCCTGTTTCCTCTTTCAGAACCTCTCTGATGTCCTCCTCAAGAAGTGCCAGAGGCTGGGGCTGAACACACCAATGTAATATATCAAAAGACAAATTAGCGATGGAAGCACTGAATAAACACATGAAGAGCCTTTACAGGTGAAACTCATGAAACCTTTCAAGTCACATTTAACCTTAAAATAAAGGAAAATAAGATATAATATTAAGATTTTTTTTCATTGTGACATTTTCAGGACAATTAAGCTTCTCATACATAATTCTAATCAGGGTTGTTATTGTTAAAGAAAACTAATAAAACTATTAAAAAACATCAACTGAAATAAACTCAAATATAACTTAAAAAACTATACAGAGCCCCTAAGGGTCCCCTGGTGGTGGAAAAAAATGAGATGCAAGAGAACGCGGAAGCATTGCCAAATTATTTTTACTCAAGTCTTATATTGTTTTCTTCACCATGTCCCTAGTACTAGAATTACTGAAACTAAAATTTAAATAAAATATACAATAATTTATTATAATGAAAATTAAAAAGTAATATGAAAAAAAAAAATACTTTTAATATATAAAAATATTCAATTATACAAAAAATTGTAAAATTGTATTTATACATGGAAAAAGTATTTGTTGAACTGCCTTTAATTTATGCAGATTTTATAAATAAAGGTGTATTACAGTATAAAGAATCTAATGAAAGTCATCATTACAAAAAAGTAAAACACCCTGACACATAGTAATGAGAATTGTGCGGTAAAATGTGCTTAATTGTCATGAAAAATATCACAAAGGTACATATAGGCTTTTTTATGTCTATCTTGCTGTAGCATTTTTAAAAGCAATTTACAGATTTACTAAGAGCTTGCGTCAACGCAAACCCTCTTTTGGTGTTAATAAACTCGTGTCAGAATTTACTAAAGACACACAGTAAAAAAAAAAAAAGTGAAATTGTACGCTCACTCTAATTTCCTAGTTTAGTAAATCTAGCCCAAGGACTTACCACCATTTTTAATGGGCCATGCATCTTCTCCTGGGCAGCCAAGGCATTTTTGAAAGGGGTGGGTGTTCTTGGAGTGTGGATTATAATATTCTTATGAAGTTTCGGGGTCCTAAAACTGTGAAGACAAAATACAATTAGTTATTTCTTAATTCTAAGTTTGACAGCTCGTTATTCTCAAACAGCAGATGTGAAGATTAGGCCCTGACCCTGCATTCTCCTTCTGGTGTTTTGGTGTGGTTTCTCTCTGGTGGGGTGTGTTGAGGAGGCATTTCTGTCCACATACTGGAGTGGATGTAAGAGCAGGATTGTCGAGGCTCAAGGGCTCACCACCGGACACGTTGAAAAACTAAATGAAAAAAAGGTTTTAACTTCAAGTTTGAATGAATCCACAAATTTCTGTGCTTTAAAAGTTATGTAATGTTACACATTTACCCATACCTGAGAGGGGGAGAATGGCAAGCCTTTGACAGGGGTGTTTTTTGGTGAGTTCCCGCTGTTGTCTATAAAAGAACAGGTGTTCCTTTCATCAGGATCAGGTGACTGATCCTCTCTCTCTCTCCTCTTCTTTCTCATCATGGAAGCTGGTTGAGAGCTAAATCTGTTGGAAAGAGCCACAGACTTGCCCTGGCTAACTGCAGCACACTGCCTGCCCAACACTGGGACAGTTGGAGCATTTATTGAGTAGGCAAGGCTTTCTGTGCACCTCTCCTCAGTGGGGTTGGTGTGTTTTGGGGAGGAGCCTCTCTCAGAGAGATCAAAGCTGGTCACATCACTCCAGGCCAAAGGGTCCTGCAGCATCAACACACACAAATGATTCCATTACTTATTAGGTGGCGAAGAAAAACTTTTACTAAACTAAAGAACTAAATTCACAATGCCTATTGAGTAAATGATATGTAAACAATACCGATATTAGTTACGTTTTTTTGTTTTGTTTTTGTTAGAAATACAGTGAAACATATATACACGAAATCTATAACATACATAACTTCCTACCTAACCAAAGTAAATACTGCCTTTAACATTCTTTAAGAGTGAAGTGTATAATGTACCACTAGCAAGACTAAAATCAATTTCAAAAACAAGTAATTTACCCATCATATCTTACAGGTACTTATTAGGTAGGTTTTACTTATAGGTACAGTGCCGTATCTGTTATCGGACAAAATGATAGTTTTCATACATTGTAATGCAGTGAAAATTCACTTGTATTCTTTATATTATAATACATTTTCAGAATATATATAATATGTGAATGTATATATATATTTATGAAGAGTTCAGATGCAAAAGCCTCTAAAAGCCATTTGAAATTTTCTTCTAGAATGATCATTTTTTATCAAGCTTGTATATTTAAGTTCAGTAATTTCACTTAAATTGCAATGAAGATTACCTATTAATCGTAATTTAAGTGAAATTACTGAACTTAAATATACAAGCTTGATAAAAATGATCATTCTAGAAGAAAATTATATATATGAAGAGTTCAGATGCAAAAGCCTCTAAGTGCCATTTGAAATTTTCTTCTAAAATGATCATTTTTATCAAGCTTGCATATTTAAGTTCAGTAATTTCACTTAAATAACAATTAATAGGTAATTATCATTGCCATTTAAGTGAAATAACTGAACTTAAATATACAAGTTTGATAAAAAATCATCATTAAAGAAGAAAATTTCAAATGGCATTTAGAGGCTTTTGCATCTGAACTCTTCATATATATACTAACCTTTTAAAAAATCTGCAAAAAACGTTTTATTGAAGTAAAAGAATTGAAAGTGAGGGGGAAAAAAAATCACAGTATGAAATAAATTGGGAATGTCGGGAACAATTATTTGCCCTTTGGATTTGGAAGCGCCAACATGGATCTGGGAATATGATGGATCTGGAGAGATTCTGTATGGAGGAATGGTCTCTGATCTCTTCTCCAAACTCATCAGGCATTGTAGGAGAAGACTCGGAAGAGTCGGAAAAAGGAGGTTGCAAAAAGTATTTAATACAAGGGGGCAAATAATTGTTCCCAACTTGTTTTGGAGAAAAACATTTATTTCATAATGTGATTTCCCCCCACTTTCAATTCATTACTTCAGTGAAAGGTTTGATTTTTGCAATTTAAAAAAAAAATAAAATATCAAAAGGATTAACAATGCAGATTTACAGTATCTTTTACAGCCATATTTGATCATATTTACCAAGGGGGCAAATAATTTTGACCAGCACTGTGTGTATATATACATATATATATTATGTGTATAATGTATATATGTAATTCTCTGCTTACTGAGTCAATGAGCTCCATGGTCTCTGCAAACTCTGGAATAGTCTCTAGTGTGGACAGCACAGCACTGGCCTCAGCGGCCAGGAACTTGCTAGGAGAGAGGGGCAAAGGCATCCTAGCAGGCTGACCCTCCTCTAAACGGCACAGCTCCACCCCTCTGTCATCCACATTCTCTGTGGTGGTGACCGTATCATCCGCCAGGGTGTCTGACCAGCTGGAGTAGCTCTCTGGATTCTGTATTGGACCAAACCATTCAATTCAGTGAGAGAGTTTATGATAAGAAAAGGCCAAAAGAAAACGATAAACTGCAGTGATGTGGAGGGGAGCGTTAAACTGAAAAATCAAACACACATCTGTGCCAATAAACCTATACTAAAAATATCTTTAGTTTATTACTTTTTGACCATAAGCTAAAATCTCTGGTAAACATTCAAGGTATTAAGGTAACGATATTATGGTAATGATAACAGTAGGTTTGCTCACTATTGACAGGGAAACTGTGAATAACTAATTAAATGTCATTAATCTACTAAATGTATTTAGAACAGAATGAACTCACAAGGAAAAACATTTAGAAAATGCAAATATATAATAATACATTAACTGTGCCAATTTATTATATTAATATGATCTTTTAAAGATAAAATTTTATAAAGATGCAGAAAATAATATAAATAATAAATAAGCATAATAAAACTAATATATATTCAAAACATGCTTAGTTTTAGTAAATAAAAGCACACAGGAGGGTGTGAGGCAGGGAGGCAGGGAGGCAGTGAAGGCGGGCACGATTTACTAAGCACAGCTAGAAATGAAGGTATGTGGGTGTAAGATGGGAATGGAGGGATCAATAGCACACTATTCTACGCGCACACACAAGTGTTTCTTACACGAGGGCCCGACTGTCTTCTGACTTCACTCTCAGCTGACATTAGCAACAGCTCTAGCTCCTTAATTCTTTTCTCTTTGTCTGGGTCGTCATGGCACGGCTGTGAGGAAGAAGAATCAGGAGGAAGAGGCGGAAAGAGAGACCGAGACAAAGTTTACTGACAATTTCACGAGACTTTTATGAGGTCCTGAATTTCACCAAGCAAAACCACCCAGGATGCTGATGTACTTTATATTCAATGTATTATAATAGATTAATGTCAATGCTTTTTAATTTAAATTTGTATTACGGCATTGGTGAAATTCAGATATGGATCAGTTTAAAACACCACACCACACACATGCAGATTAAACAATTACCAACAAACATGAGTCGGTTTTTATTTATTTATAGAAAAGACAAACAGACTTCAGAAGGCAGAAAGTTCAGAGATACAGAGGAGACTGAAGCATGCCGTGAGAACTGCACCATAGGACTTACCGTCATAAAGTTAGAGATCTCGATACTTAAGTTTTCCATACATTGGTCGCTTTGTGAACCATACGGATATCTGGGCGGCTGCCAAACAAAAACAATATGAAAGCTTGTATGTTTACTGAATACCTTTTTATCTAATATTGCTCATATCAAGTATAAAAAAGGATACCGACAACCGATAAATTCAGTCCAATCAAAAAATTAATGGATGACAAATAAAAATTCTCTACTATTTTGTCAAAATAAATGTAAAAAAAATCAGTCATTTTAAATTATCAAGTGACTTTAGACATCACAACATTTTAATATACAGTATGAAATTTAACAAAGATTACATTTAACAGTGTTATTAAACTGCAGTGTTTTAAAACATTAACAGCAGAGGTAATCTAAAAGTAAAAAAAAAACTAGCAAGCATATTTAATATTGAACACTAGCAAAATACATTAAAATAACTCTAATTTCACCAATATGGTATCAATGTATTGTGCATCCCTAAATATAAATTATTATCTATAAAATCACTGGTAGCATGGTTTAGATAAACATTCTTCTAGAACATCTACAAAAAATAAGTATGCCACACACTTTATGATACTGATGCAAACATAGTATTCTTGTGTGTGTTATCACCTGTGATTGGCTGCTCATGATCAGTTGATTCTGGCCATGTGAATATTCCACAGCTTGGCTGGATTTGGATCGTTTCTTCTGGCCAAGGTCACTTCTGTAGCTCTTGCTGGGCTCCTGCAAGTAACCCTCATGTTCCACCTTCCTGCGCATGGTGGAGTTCCAATGATTCTTAATGGAGTTGTCTGTCCTATAAACGTACAATACGGTAAATGTCATTCTCTGGCCTTCACAAGAACACTGGTTCTTCAATATTCTGTAGAGCTTTAGAGTAAAAAGAGAGCTTTTTACCTTCCAGGCAGCAGCTTTGAGATCTCAGCCCAGCGATTGCCCAGACGTTTATGTGCTTCATAGATAATTCGATCTTCTTCCTGGGTCCAGGAGGATTTCTTCACTTCTGGGTTGAGGTGATTGTGCCAGCGCTCTCGGCACTGTTTGCCAATGCGGCCCTGTAAGTGCTTGGCAATCACTGACCACCGTTTGGGCCCATACTTGTGAACTAACTCAATCACCTGTGGAGAGGTCAAAAACAAAGTACTTGGGTTATAAAATATAATCTTCATTTGGAACTCCATCCATATGAATAGTTTTCTAAAATCTGTAAGGATGAACTCTAAATTATTGAATCTTGGCCAAATAAAAACAGTCAACCCTGGTCGCTGAGCTAACGTAAAATTGGAAAAACTGATATCCCCACTATTTTTCTTTTCAAGAGCTAAACTAAATTCTAAACTATAGATTGCACATCATGATATTCAGTACCTTTAAAAAGTCTGGGGTTTGTTTTATTCAACAAAATGCATTAAATTGATAAAAAATAATGATCTAAATAAATGCTGTTCTTTTGAACTTTGTATTCATCAAAGTATCCTGAAAGCAATTGATCAGTTTTCATAAAACATTAAGCAGCACAAATGTTTTCAACATTGATAAAAAAATAAATAAAAAATGAGCAGCAAATCATCATATACTGTATATTAGAATGATGTCTGAAGGATCATTTGACACTGAAGACTGGAGTAATGATGATGCTGAAAATTCAGTTTTGGAATAAAAGGAATAAATTGCATTTTAAAATATACTTAAATGTTATGTTAAATTGTAATAATTTTTCACAATATTACTGCTTTTACTGTTTTTGATCAACATGCATCCTTTATGAGCATAAGAGACTTTCAAAATAATTTTAAAAAATCAGACAAACCCCAAACCTTTGAATGTTAGTGGTTAGTGTATATACAATATATATATATATATATATATATATATATATATCCGTTCTATGGGTGGTAGAGGAAGACAATGACTTTTGCATTCTAAAACTTAGAGTCAAATCATCACACCCCTCCTAATCCTACATCTATCGCCATTTATCCATCCATCTCTGTCTTGCTCTGAGGACACAGAACACCCAGCTCATCTTACCCTCTGATCCTCCTCTTTTGTCCAGGGTCCTTTCACCAGCTCCGGGTTGAGCACCTTTTGCCAACGGTGCTGACATTGACCATCTGTCCTTGTCTACCAAAGTGCAACAAAATCCCACATCAACACCTGTAGCTAGTACACATACACATATAATAACATCTTTACTAACACAAAGACCTGTCGCTAATAATACAACATAAATTGAACAATTGTTCTGCTGTAATGTTATCTGGTCTTTTCATTTGCAACAGTATTTTAAAGTTAGAACTTGATACGTGGCTCACCTTTTGCCTAATTTGTGTAAAATAGATTTGTTTTAAAGTTACACTATGAGACTTTTAGCAGTTAATAAACAAAAATACATGCATCTTGCAGAAGAACACTGTAGCCGGAACTACTTTCTCTGTTTATGTATATGACGAGAAACACAGGTACTGGGCTACTATGGAGCGGTTGGCATCCCGCTCAGTCCTGAATATAAACACTTATGATATGCGCACTTAAGTTTTGGAAGAAGGATTCATGATGTAATCACTTATTATATGCATTTATTATAAAAAAAAAAAATTCCTGTTCCTTTAAATGTTTACATTTTATTTTAATTTAAAATATTTCAGAAGACCTTTCTGAAAATTAGTTCTTCCATAGAAAGATAATAAATATGTGAAAAATAATTTACTTTTTTTTTTTAACTCACCAGTTTTTAACATTCCAACCACAGGTACACAATTTTAAAAACACTTTCAAAGTCATGATTTAGCATCTGATTCAGTGAGTTACTTACTGGGAAATAATTGGCAATTAATTTCCAAGCATCGGCTCCGTGTTGCTCAACAAGCTTCTTTAGCTTCTCATCCTGTTTGTGAAACAGAGATCATGAAGTTTTCCATCTCAGAAACAACTAGCCCGCTGTGACAGACAGCACTAAGACCATTGTAGCAATTCCCACCCCTTCCTGTTTCATCATTGACACCCAAGGAGTAAGTATGATCTCATTTGAATGTAAAATAGCACATGTGGAATTGGTTGCAAAATAGAATTCATGTATTAGGTACCTCATCCCGGGACCATTTAATTTTGCACAGGGTCTTTTTAGAATTCTTGGAGTCCCTGCTGTCAGGATCTGTAGAATGACGTTCATCATCCTCGTCTTCACTGCAGCCATTAAACACAAACAGAAAACACTGAGTCAAACACTATTAAAAGAAACGATCTATTCTGACACAAACCACTAAACAGACAAGCTTGATCAATCATCTGTAAATACAAAATGCAAACAGTTTAGAAACGCTGCTAGCTGACATGCCTGAGTATAATTAGTCTGCAAGCAAGCAAAACAAGCTACAAAATAAATCCCAGAAGTATTCAAATTATTCAAGTGCATTAGTTTTTGCATTCATAAATAAAGATTTTGGTTTTTATTTGAATATATATTATGTTTTCCATTCTCCTAAAGTTTACCCATTAAAATACATTCCAAAAACACACAAGTAGCTCAAAGTGACAGTTCAGACTTCAGCCTATAGCCTTGTTGCCTGGTAACATTTCACCAATGCAGTGAGGTAGAGTTTTTAATCAACACCATGTACTGGGTAGTTAAGTCTCCCTGGGATACCAGAGCACAAAAACTTAATGGAAAACAATTTATCCAATGCTATAGGTTACTATACACGAAGCTCAAGCCTTAGCCAATTTGTTGTAAAGCTAAAAGATATTCTAGAAGAACACGGAAGGAAGTCTGCTCATTAAAGAAATATGCAACAGCTCATTCAACCAGAATGTCTTGCTGCAAAGTCTAAAGTTGTGAGGAAATGTGTTTAGGCTGAAGTCCAACTTTGACTAAAGTGGTACAAATATGGAAGTCCAAAATCCTTCTTGCTGCCAGTCTGCATGTTTTTCATTGAAACATTGGCTCTCTGTATTACAAGCCACCAGCTGAAAGAAGTGTTTCATCTAAGAAACATTTAAGAAACATGATTTAGTATGACCTCCACCCTCAAGGAAGGGGTGAGGTGATAAACAAGCCCATTTTACTTCAGAGGTGATTTGCTTACATCATTCAGGCAGGAGGCAGACCAAACTGACCAAATCTGTTCAAACACCAAATCCACTCAGTCAGATTAAAGCCTTCAGCTGGTCTTCTTTTTGAAATTGCATTCATATATCTTCCATTAATGTCTGACACAGAAATGTAAAGAAAAAGAACCGCACTCTCTAGTTAAATCTCATGAAGATTTATTCATTCACCATGTGTGGACATGGTGAATGAATAAATCTTCATGAGATTTAACTAGAGAGTGCGGTTCTTTTTCTTTACATTGATTACTGTTTTATAACTCGCACCCAAAAAACGTCTTGGTAGTTGAGCGCGCCTACTTTGAGCATGACACAGAAATGTACACACACTTTCCACAGACATAATGATTTTTATACAGTACAAACTGTATATTCTCTCCCCTTACACTAACCCTCCCCTTAAAGCTACTCATCACAGAAAACATTCTGCTTTTTTACATTTTTTTTTTTAAAGTATGATTTATAAGCTGTTTTCCTCTTGGGGAACAAAAAATGTCCCCACAAGTATATGGATTTCAGATATTGCCATCTTTGTGGGGTCATTGTCCACATAATGTAGGGTTTACCAGAACACACACACATTAACATCTTCATCCATAAATAACATCATGGTCATGATTGTTTAGGTACAGCAAGAGCAAGCTGTATGTCACCGTTCTTCATAAGCATCATCCTTTGGAAAATCTGACTCACATAGTTTTATAAACCAAACTAGATGTGAATAAGTGTGCAGCATTACGCACAAGATGGATATTCTTACTCCTTTATTATTATTCTAATACACATTAATATATAAATTGATATTTATTGTGTATCTTTATAAACACAAATCCATTTTTACAGCTAACCAACTTAATATAAGTTTTTGTATATGAATTTCCAGTTACTGTAACAAAACAAAGTCCTCAAAAGTCCCTCTAAATCATGGCAAATTATAAACTTATAATACCTTTTCAGATTTATGTAAGTGTAAAAATATTTTAAATTCAAACATATGCAAATGTTTACAAAGAGTAAGATACAACTGATTAAATATTCTGCTTTAGTAATTTGATATTTTTCTACATAAATGTTATGTTAGTAATATGTGGTTATTATGTAATGCCCTATTAAGGCATCAGTGCCCAACTGTTTCATCTAATACCATATAATCCTCTAAAGCTGGAACACTTCCACCTTCCCCCATTTCTGTTTTGTGACCACTTTTACTTGAAGATTATTTAAAATACATTTAAAGTAAATTAAATCTAAATTAAAAGTTTACAATTTAATTACAATTTAGAATTTAAAGTACATTTTATTTACTTGTGGCCAGTTTCGTTTAATATTTGGACTAAGATTACTTCAGAAATTATAAAATAGCCGGTTAGCATGCTAGTTCACTACTGCTACACTGTTCAGTTCTAGGACAGGCTAACCGCTAGCATTCAGGCTAACACAATACACTTATCTTAAACATTAAGATACGTGTATCGAAACTGTTACATGAGGAGAAAACATTATGGCAGAACAAGCAATAAGAACTAACGTTATGTTTTTAAAACACGACGTCAGTTTTAACTCATGATCAACCTCGTTGATCAGCAGGTGCAACGTGATGCGTCATAGGAACCTGTCATTTAATGTTAAAATCACAATTTAATAACGTTTTAGATTATATTGTGCAACTGAATTCTTAATTACTGTTATTTTGAGCTTCAATGTTGCCATAGTGATTTCTGTTGTGATACAAATATCTTAAAAACTCCAGAATAGAAATATAAATACTATGATATACGATCTCATGATGTTTTAAGCTGGACATCAACATACGATCTGTACATTTGTACACAATCCATAAGTAACAATTATTATTCTCATTTAATTTAAGATTGATTTCGCTTTTTATATTTGATTTAGTTTACAAGGCACTGAATAAGATCTCACCTGCGAGACTTCATATTGGGCATGTCAACTGTGTTCAAATCCAGTTCTTTTCAAAAGAAAATGTCTTTAAAATATCCAATGTTGCAATTCTTCTTGAAATCAAAACACAAAGATGACTTTTATCCACACATGCCACTGTCACATGGGTATATTTTCCGCAAAAAGGTTCAGATCCGTACAGTCACATCCCCGAGAGCCCTAATGCAATAAATATGAGACAATGAAAAGTGCCCTTCCAAAATTCTTCTTATTAAATAATAAAAGTGCAAAATAGAAAACTTCTAACTTAGTGCGATCTCAAAATGGTAAAGGGAGAAAATCCATAAATATAACTCTGTGTTAGTCTTGCCCGCACTGATCTGAACACACACCCCTCTGTACTGTCACTCTGTACTGTGTTCTCAGCGCGTGTGTTTTTTTCCACTCATTTTGTTTCATTTTTTGTCCATCCCGCCGAATCTCGCGCCCAGCCTTCTTCCGGAAACGGGTTTGAATCTGCGCACGCGGCCTCGCCGCTGATTGGTGTAAAAAGATAGGCGGAGTAGCGCGCTCTTGTTGTTGAACAGCAACTGGACTGTGACACTCGCTGACGCCCTTTTTATTTGCATGCAGCTAGAGTTACTTAGTTTTACTTATTGCTTAGTATGTTTACTGCTGAGGACTTTTTATATTTAAATAAACCAATTTAAACATATAGTCTAGCGCTTTATTGGCAGGGTTTGAATATTACAATGCAAGTTAAAACTGCAAAATAAAACTGATCTCATTGAAAGCGTTATCTTTTTATAAGCCCATGCTGCCCTCTTGCGGATATTTTGTGATATTTTATTATTTTATTTTGCCTTTGCAGAATTAAAAAAATGAATAAATATCTACTTTGTTTGGCATAAAAATAATTTGTTAAAAATAGTATAAACAGGTATACGAAAAACAAAGATATAAGAACGTTTGCCATGCCATGTTACATGTTTTTTCTATTTTAGATATGATAAATGCCATTATTTTACAAAATGTAATATAATATAGTATAATATAATACAATATAATAGGACTTTTCAGCAAAATTTGAAACCAAATCTTTTAGAACTATAAAAGGCAAGATATATATATATATACATATATATATATATATATATATATATATATATATACACTGTAGTGTCAATCACATTTTTATGTTATGTAGATTTTTATATATATAATGTAAATATATATATATATATATATATATATATATATACATACATACATTTACATCTACATTATTATAATGTAAATGTAAATGTGTATATATATATATATATATATATATAGATCCTATATATCCTATTTATCCTTGACCTTGTCCCCACAAGTTACCTTGTAAAAAAATCTACATAATATAAAAATGTGATCGACAGTATTCGTGACAGTTTTGCCGCTAGATGGTGCTGTTGTTTATCCTCCTTTACAACATTATTATCCTTCGTTCCTCGCTCGCATTTAGTCGCGTGACTGATTGTTTCGGAACTTCGAAACAAACGTCAATGTCTCTTTCTTTCACTGGCGGTGCATTGGTAACATGCTGAATGTAGGAGACAACAAATTCTTTCCGTTAGGCTGGGTCAGTGTTTAGTACCCAGACACGCCGAGTTTGGTATTTGAATCGTTGGACTTCCTTTGCCTCCCGACACGTCACTGGAGTCAGTTGGATGGAAAAAGTGAGAAAATAAGGCAAGTTATGTCTTGACTCTCTTTGAACATTATGAACGTCGTGAGTGACTCTAGGAATACGTCGGTGATTGTAGTACAGTTTGGGCTGTAACAGGTCTATTCTCTGCGATAGTACACAATGTACATTACGTAATAAAATGTTTATTTATTTATTTAACAGGCAAGCCAAATGCCAAAAATACAGTGCTCGACAAAAAAAAAAAGGGAAACATGCCAGCCACTGTCTGCCAGAAGCAAATGTCTTCCAGTCGGGGTTTTGTTTTGAAGCTTGATTTCAGTTCAAAATATTGTTTCTAGCCGTCTCAAAATAAAAATCTTAACAAAAATCTTCTTATTTACAATATATATGGCCATCATGAATTAAAGAATTCAGGCCAGGGTCATTATTTTAAGCCATTTATGTCATTTTTGCATGTTGTGCTGCAGCAGTGCTATTTTTTTTAAAGATATATTAGTATTAAATTTTTATTAATAAAAATAGCTAAAGACTGATTATCAGTTTTATTGTAACTCTTTTCTTAATCAGTAATCAGTTATTCTGTACAAGCTACCATATTGTAGTCATGATTGTTTAGTTATTTGAAACTGTAAATAAAAAGCAGTTCTGCATACTAATTATTACTTCATAGACAAAAATAATCTGTATTAATATCAGTCAAAATCAAAAAGTATATATTGCTCAATCCCTTGTTTTGTGATATTTCATTAAATTGAACTGATTTCTTAAACCAATTCAACAACAAAAACATGGATGATTTATTTTTTAATTATTCATGGAATAGTTTCTCATTGAGAAATCTATGAATCATATGTGGGCCAGTCTGTGTCATCCAATATTCTTGAGTAATGTTGACCATTGAAATAAAAATGATATGACCAACAAGTGAAATATTCACCAAGCCTTCCGTTAGAAATTTTATTGGAAGTTAAACTGTCCTAAGTTTTTTTATTGCTTTCTCTGACACACATCCAACTTATAGATTCCAATGTCTTTAAACATGATGTAGGATTACACTCAGTCTGAGATGAGTGCTGTACAAACCTGCACTAATGCATTTTGGCACGACATGAATCTAGATTTGAATGTGTGACATGTCTCTGCTAGTTTATGTTTGTTCATTTGCACTTTCTTTTCGCTGCTCAAACCTGTTTGACAGTTTGAGGTGTTATAGTATGAGGTCAGGTTTACTAAAAGTAACCTTTTGATATCTTCTATGTAGTGATGATGACATTAACTAATTGGCTATAGTTTCCTGAATTTGCATAATAATGAGTTCATTTAAAAATAAGCCTTTGGCAGCGATCTTTCACTTCTTGTATCATGCATAAAGAAACCAGTTTCTACTTTCACTTTCAAGGTGAAGTGTTTCTGTTTGGTTATTTGGTTCTGACACTGGAGCAGACATTTCAATAAGGCTATTCTTCCTGGTGACTGTTTTTAGTTGAAGAAATCTGCAGGTAAATCATTAGCTAATGCAGATGCACTGGGCAGTTCATTTATTTGCATATTTAAAACAATACTAGAGCTCCAATATATCTGACACATTTGAAAATGCATGTGTGTTAAAATCCAAAATCCTTAAATAGTTCAATGGCCACGTAGGCAAATAAACCTGTGACATTCCTCCAAGCTCGCATGAATGTAGAAAATACAGATCTCAGCGATACAGTAAACTATGTCTGCTACAGTGTGTTATCTCATCTGGACACATTTAGTTTGTATTTCATGTCACGCAGTGTGATGAAGAGTGCTTATTGTACTGTTTATTTTAAAAATAATTATAATATGCATAAAGTTGTCTCTCTCTTTTACCTGTCATCAAGCTAAAACTGTTGCTGAAAATGCTGATTTTTTAAAAATTCATAAACTGAGGAATGTCAGTGTTCCCGTGCACAGAAATATTCATTCACTCTCTCCTAAGCTACTCTTCAGAGGCTTTGGCTGACCTTTAAATCAGCATCTTGTAGGTCCAGAGCAGCATTTTCTAAAAATACCTCATATACAGTACCTCAGAGCGGAAGGGGAATGTCGACCACCTTGAGAGTACTGGTGTGTTGCACTTGACAGAGGGAGTATGTAGAAGTGGCATATGAAAGAAGAATATCCCCGTTTGCTCCCTCCCAGTTGGAGAGAAGCAGAGGGGAGGATGAAAGAATGTGAGGAAAAGAGAGGTGGAGACTCATCGCTTGGCTGGCCAGACTGAGGCTCCTCTCTGTGTTCATGCCACACTTGATTAGTGACTCTGAGTGGCCTTTCTGTCCTGTCATGAAAGGCCCTCTGGAGCTAAATTGAATGCTGGACACTGCTGAAAAGAGCACTTGACGGTGGTAGAACATCTTTCTTATGTTTATGTTCCGCACAGGTCCAAAATGGAGAGTTCCCATCCGAATCAGGTGTGCACAAGAGGCAGGGGAGCGTTCTGAGGACCTATGAGCCGTTGCTTGTGAGATTCTTAGAGGCCTCAGGATGGAGGAGCAACCCAGCTGCCCCAATGTCAGCATTCCCTGCTACAATGAACAGAGGGACAAGAATAAACGCTATACTGTGAGTCACATTACCTCTGATGCTCTCACACATGCTCTGTCTCACTCTTTTAAATGTTATGTTTGAGCATCGGATGTGAATGTTTTCATCCTTGTGTCATTAGGTGTATAAAGTAATGGTCAGTGTTGGGAGGCATGAGTGGTTTGTGTTCCGGAGATATGCAGAGTTTGATAAACTGTACAACATTGTAAGTAATTTGATTTGTTGTTTTAAAATATAAAGCGTTAATCTGTTTGGAATGTATCTTTTTTTGTAAAATGTCCTGTACAAACCATATACAACCATTTAAAAGTTTGGCGGTCAGTAGGATTTTTTAATGATTTTTAAAAAAAGTCTATTATATAAAATACAGTCAAACAGTAATATTGTGAAATATTATTCACAATATAGTATAATTTAAAAGTATTCTATGTCATGATATTAATTTGTAAATTTTTTTTTGCTTTTTAAAAATATAATATATTTTTCCACAGTTGAAAAAACTGTTTCCTGCTCTGAATTTGAAGATTCCTGCTAAAAGAATATTTGGAGACAACTTTGACCCAGGTATTTCACATTTCCTTGATTTCTCATGAATTAAGACATATTGTATAGAGCCCGTAGGAAAATTCTGTCATCTCGTGCGCATACGTTAGTGACTTTGCTTAATTTAGCTTAACAGAGATCATGTGTATTTGACAAATTTAATTATCCAACAGTGTTCCCTACAGAAAATCAGCCATGCTAAATCACTCTGCCTGAGCCTATAAAATCTTTGTCCTTGTTTAATCTCATGTTATGCTCTCAGACAATGTGGCAGCAAAGTTGTGTGCATAAATAACAGAATGAGAATGCACACCCAAGTACCAATTGTATTTTACTCATGTGCGACCAATTATGTGGCCAGTATGTGGTCAAGATTTTTTTCGTAGAGAAATCATCTGGTCATTGGAAACACATGCAACATTTATGCTCATTTTCTGAAGGCTTCTTCACCATGGGTCTTATTCTTTCTCTTCCCCCCTCATTCTCTCTGGATAATTGCTGCCTCACTGGACAATAACAGTCTAATTATTTGGTGCATATTTTTACGGTAACTTCCCATGCTCCACTGAGGGTTTACTTTGTATTCACAATGGACCGGATTGGTT